CCTGGCCCCAAAGTACACAGAGTGACCATTTCTTCTTATCTTTCCTCGCATACCTAGGATAGAAATTTTACTCAACCAAGACAAGCCCCAAGCATTACTACACTACATGCCATCACTGCTGTTGAAGAACAAAGTCTTTGTAAACAAATCTTCGAGAAGGAGAGGGAAACGAGTACCATACTACAAGAGCAGCAGCAGGGCTGGCCCTGGCCTTCCCTTCCCTTTGCCAACACCCTGATGTATCCCCTCAATCAAGCTTTGGCATCGCATTGACCTACAGATGGAGAGTCACCTTCTGAAGTAGTGTCGTTTTCTTGCTCAAAATCCTTCAAGAGTTCTCCATTACCTACCGATAAAACCCAATCCTTACCCCAATATTCAACGCCTTGCAAAATTTCCCTCAGAATTTATTTTTTATCTTATTTCCAACTATTTCCCCGTCCTATGCTCAGTCTATACACTCTTTTAAGTTCCTTCTACAACATTCTGCTTTTCTGCTCCCAGGGTCTTTGCATATTTTCTTGTCCCCTCTCCTCCTCCCCTTTCACCTATCTGTGTTTTTCAAGGCACCGATAGGTCTCACCCTATTTCAGTTGAAAGAGAGACTTTCTAGCAGCATTTCATTTGTGTGATTCATCTTGTACTTACATCCTTCCTCAGGCTTGTAGATAATTCCAACACTTTTCGTTTCTAAAGAATTATTTATTATTTTAAAATTTGCTCTAGGGCACACATACTCACTAGAGAGAGAGAAAAGAGGGAAAGTGAGAAAGCAGGCCGCCAGGTCTGGTACTCTTACTGCAGTTAGCCACGTGGGAGTCCAGTGCCTTAATCACCACGCCACTTGCTGGCCCTCCAACAGCTTCAAAACTTGTTTACAGATTCTCCGCAGTCCAGAAAATCACTCTTCTCTTTGGCAGATCCAGTAATCTGGTGAACCAAAGTTATCTGACTCAACTTCCTCAAATCCCCACTCCCTTCCACTGTTCTTCCAACTTAAGTTCTAGAACAGAGATTTTACCCTCTTCTCTAAGACCAGGCTTTGACTATTTGACTATTCTCATTCTCTCTCCCTCCCTCATTACCCTCTCCTATTTCTTGATTCATGCCAACTCTTCTGGATTTTTCTCAAAATATAACCAAATCTCTCCTTAAAATCAAACTAAATGAAACCAACCAACCAAATTCTCCATTTTTAACATAGCTTCTCTAGGAGGCAGCAGGTAGTGTAGTGGTTAAAGTGTAGGACTAAAATGTAGCCAACTGCGGTTCAAGTTCCAGACCTGGCTGCTTGAAACTCACAATGAGCGCCCAAATCCTGAGAGGAGAATGGAGAAGGGAATTACAGCATGGCCATCCCCATGGGGGTAATTTCTCATTTTCTGTCTTTTTGTCTCTCCAGCAAGTTGCACGCACCCTATAGCAAAAAATCTAACCCCCTGGGACCAGCAGTTAGCGTAATGGCTATGTCACTGGACTCCCACGTAGTCAACCGCGGTTTGAGTCCCGGACCTGAGGGCTTAAAGCCATGCCGGGCGCATGTGCATGCGTGCCCAAGATCCCAGAGGAGAATGGAGGAGAAAGGATTGTGGCGTGACCACCCCCCTGGGGGGTGATTTCTCGCTTTCTGTCTCTCTGTCTCTCTCTGTCTGGCGAGCGCACGTGCCTTACAGCAAAAACCTCTCAAAAAAAAAAAAAAAAACAAAAAAAAAAACAACTACCCCCCTAAAAAAGCAAAAGATAGGTTATCCTAGGCTAGCAGGTGGCGTGGTGGTTAAGGCACTAAACTCCCACATGGCTGCCTGAGTTCGAGTACCAGACCGCTTGCTTTCTCACTTCCTCTCTGTCTCTCTCTCTGGTGAGTGCGTGTACCTGTAGCAAACTAAAAATAAATAATAATAATAATGATAAATAAAAAATTTCAAAATAATTCCTAACAAAATGATAGCTTCTCTCCTTCCCTTTTATTAATATACTTCCTGCATTCTGGTCTGAGGTGAGAGCCTCCCACTCTGCTGAAATTGACATCTGGAAGATCAACAATAACTTCTTAGTGCCAAATTCTCATCTCTTCTCCTTGAACATCTGTCATCCATGGGCTCTTTCTCCTACCTCTCTGACCACTCCATCACTGATCCCCCCCACCCCACTTCTGTCTGTTCTTTGGTCCTCTTTGCAAACTTTCATATCAATGTGAATGATTCTTAGCTCTGTCTTGTCAAGCTGAAAAGAACAGTAAAGTAGAGAAAAGGGGAATTTACTGGTCTCAATAGCATCAGTCAGACCCACCAGCAGCATGACCAGATGGAAATTACCAACATGTCCACTGACCCTGAAAAGGCAATGGTCTTTTACACTAGTAAAAGGGTTACCAGGGGCTGGCAGGTGGCGTGGTGGTTAATGGCACTGGACTCCCACATGGCCAACTGTGGTTTGAATCCTGGACCTGGTGGCTTGCTTTCTTACTTTTTCTCTCTCTGTTGCTCTGTCCCTCTCTGGTCAAATAAAAATAAATAAATACGGTTGGAAAAAAAGGGGGGGGTTACAAAACATGCAGGCTGTTCTGAAAGTTTATATGGACAAAGATAACAGAGAAGGGTCTTATGGAGAGAGAGGAAGGGATAGGATTTGATGAAAGTCCATTAGCAGCAGTGGTCTGAAGCAACTTCCTGGCAGCGATAATAGTCTGTCTGATAGTAGGATTTGTGATCGGAGGAAGGGAGACTGTAAACCTGGAATTATGTTGGAAAAGCATGTCTTGTGACAGTCACTTAGTGAACTGGTAAGCAGGCTGGTCAATCATTCCCTCTTCCTTGTATAGCAATCTCTTTTCTGGATAAATTTTATCTCCACAACCTCTAGTTCTGACTTCTCTTCTAAGCCACCTTCTTGGGTGTAGGGCTTCCCCCTTCAATCAAATGATTTGCTAGACTTTCTTTCTTTTTTTTTTTTTTTGTAGCTGTCTTACCTACTTTTCCAGGATGGCAATTTTCAAAGTTAATTGATCACATTTGTCCTCTTTGAGGTCCTCCTTAAATCTCTCCTGTCTCTTGTTCTTCTGATCTCAGCCAGTGGGATCAGCATCTTTCAGCTAGTATTTTTAAAATAGGTGATTGTTGAGTGAACATTTTGATAGAGCTGGTGGTGGTAATGGTGTCTTAGAGAACTCAGAAAAGATCTAAAGAATTACAGGACAAAAATGTGGCTCCGAATTCACTTCTTGGATGAAATTTTCTCCAATTTACTTAGAATTTTCTCTTCTACATCATCTCACAAAGTAAAATCACCCTCTGGAGTATATATCAATGTTATTTACTACTTTCTGGATATTATATTTAATGTTTTGCTTTTGCTGTATTCATAAACTGGCCAATTTTGCCAAACTGTAACAATTCCTAGGGAGAGGGATATCTTCCTTTTTGAACTCTGGAAAAAATCTTTGTGTCACCTTTGTCACTTGTGCCTGATGTCCCTCCAAACTTGCTTCTTTAATGAACAGGTGACAAAGACAGTGACTCAGAGGCTCCTGGTTTTTCCTTGTAATCCGTGTTAATAGTGCTGAGTTACTACCCAACTTTGTATTTACTACAAATACACTCAGTATTCCAATTGCTAATGTGTTACCCTGGAGAGTTTAAGTCCTCCCATTTTTCTAATACCCGGGTTATTTCAACAATCCTACATTAAAAAAAAAAATTAAATCCTCTCTTTAAAACAAACAAACAAACAAACAAAAAACCACCCAGTGATCTGGAGGTAACAGGACCCTGCAGTATCCTTTTCTGATTCCCACCCCCACCACACCTTATTTTACTGTTCCTCCCCAGGGCACTGGGCCAGCGTGGGCTGTAATCCTTACTGAAAGTGGCCTTTGGAATTCAGAGACTTCGCATTCCCACCTAAGGAACTGGTAGGCGGACTTCACCCTCCAGGACCCACACCTACCCGTGAGGCTGGGGGAAGGGGGAGGAAATGAGCTCTGGCGAACGTCCCAGGCTGTTGGCTGCATTGAAGATTCCTCTTCGATCCTACAAATACACAGCAAATATTTTCTGAATAAATAAGGGAAAACCGCATCCAGAGCCAAGCAACGTAAACTGAGTCAATCTCTTTGTTACATATCTCAATGGTTAACACGTAGGAAATCAGCTTTAACGTTTTTAAACACGGCTGGCAGCAGACTGCCTGTAGTTTGCCGTGCACTCCGCCTCGACTGTTTCTTCCAGTCCTAGGTCTAAGGTGGCTTTACAATCTGGGATTTAGTCTCCTTTCGTTTAAAACGAAGGTCGTCCCTATTCACGCCAGTTTACATCCCGAGCTCCCATTCATTCATTCGTTCCCCAAATATTTATTAAGCGCCTGTTGGAGGCGTTTAGCTAAAGCAGCGAACAAAACGAGAGTTCCTTGTTCTGGTGGACAGCAGAGAAAGCGATGGAAATGATTTTTAAAATTACGTAAGGTGTCACGCTGGGAAATGGTCGTGGAGGCCAGGAGACAGGGGAAGAGAGCCCAAGATTGGGGTTCTGGCTCGGGTTGGGGAAAAGCGGGACAAGCTGGGGTGGCGGAGGCTCTGATGTCGGGGCACAGCGAGCTGTTTGCTGCAGAAAGTGACGGAGGAGTATTCTGGTTTACGCGCACGCAGATGAAGGACAGAAAGGGCTGAGGACGGAGACTCCCGTTGAGAAAGCCGGAGGCGGGAAGCTAGTTCCCAGCAGAGCCAAGAAGACAGCCTGGCGCGCGGCACCCAGGGCGCGGGCTGCAGGCGGTCGCGGGCTGCGGACCACTGCGCCCCCAAAATGGCCTCCGACGCCCCTCGCCGCCCCGCCCCCGGCGCTCCGCTGCCCGCCGGCCCACGTGACCCGGCCCGCCCTCC